TTTCTATTTTCACTACATTTGCTTTTAGAAAATGCTGGTCAAATTTGTTAGCTCAGCCAGTTCCTTTCCTGCCTTCCCACATGTAAACACACCTTGAGAAACTATACAACAGTTTAGAATGGGTAGAGGAGTTTAACTACAATGGTTTATACTTAAAACGTGGGAGACCAGGCACCCTTCTGATAATGAGTACCTTGGGAAAAAACAGTGTTGGATTCATGTATCAGAGGAATTCAATTCTTATTTAGGGTCTGTAGGGTGGCTTCAAGTCTTTGCCACACAGGCTAGAGAAGACAAAGAATTAGAGAACCATGGTGTCATTTCAGCTCTTCTGTGTACATTGGACACCATGTTAGAGAACTTGGCCATGCTTTTGGATAGCCTCTATTTTGGCACCCACCTGTTTTTGTTAAATTACTTCTCTGATTTTTAAAATTATACCCTAATGATAAAAAATTAAGATAATATAATAATAGAAAGCAAAAAAATTATTTGCTCACTATCCTACAACTCAGAAGTGACAACAGTTAACTTTTAGTGCATTTCCTTTGGGTCTCTCTTCTATGGGTCACATACATATAAAAACACATATAATGTTGTATCCTTTTTATTTGGAAATAATTATAGATTCATAGTGTTCTGACTTATCACATAACAAATCATGAATATTCTCCATTAAAAATTCTTAAAAGTACAATTTCTGAGGTGACAACTATGGTGGCAGCATTATTTTTAAAAACTTATTAGATATTTCTAATTTATATTATGATAAAATAATTTTAGTGCATAAAAATCTGTTTTTCTGATCATTTCCTTAGGATAGATTATTTAAAGTGGAATTTCAGGCCAAAAGGATACTTACTTTTCCAGGCTATTGAAATATACTGTCAAACTGCAAAGCAGAAGGGTTGTGTCAACTTACTCTCACCAGAAATGTACTAGATTCCCAAGTTTTTCTCATCCTTGAAAGCACAAAGCATCGTTTTCTTAAATTTTGATAATTCATTGGCCTTTTTTGCAATGTGAAGCTGATGGTATTTGCTGGGGAATACTATTTGTGATGGATTCTAGAATAATTACATAAGCTGCAAAAGAAAAGTCATGCAATTTCAGCTTAATTAGAATGGTTAGCTGAAACAGTTGTCATTTTCCAATTTCAATTGCATAGTATGTATTTTGGTGGCTTCTGGGCTAGAAAAAACTGTTAAGCTCTTTACAATAACATTTCTAGCACATTTTGATTACTACCTAAGGTAGTAATTTTGCCCTAATTTTTCCAAAGGAAATACTTTCATTTAAAGGGTCTTTATTCTAAGTTGTTCATTTTCTTCTTGTGAAAAGATTAATTTATATATACTCAGAAAAAATAAATTACCCTCCTCAAGATAAATAGACCCTTCTCTCACCTCACCACCTCCAACCCTCTCATATAAAAAGTCAGAACAGACTTCTCCAGCTTTCTCTTAGACATTGCCTTATTTATGCACTTTGATTTTCTTGAACTAAGCTGAAGAGTAGTAATAAAGAGTAGGCAAATGAATATTTAAGAATCAGGCCAGGCGCTGTGGCTCACGCCTGTAATCCTAGCTCTTGGGAGGCCGAGGCGGGCGGATTGCTCAAGGTCAGGAGTTCAAAACCAGCCTGAGCAAGAGCGAGACCCTGTCTCTACTATAAATAGAAAGAAATTAATTGGCCAACTGATATATATATAAAAAATTAGCCGGGCATGGTGGCGCATGCCTGTAGTCTCATCTACCCGGGAGGCTGAGGCAGAAGGATCACTCGAGCCCAGGAGTTTGAGGTTGCTGTGAGCTAGGCTGACGCCATGGCACTCACTCTAGCCTGGGCAACAAAGCGAGACTCTGTCTCAAAAAAAAAAAAAAAAAAAAAAGAATCAGCATTTATGAAAATAGTTTTAGGCAATCTGTGATGTAACAAAGTGTATCTTTGCTCTCACTCATCCTCCTCCCTGCCCAATAAAAACCCTACATTTATTGAAAACCTCTGTGCCAGGCACTCTGCAAGATACAGTCCCTGCTCTTTAAGGGATTACAAATCAATAGAAATAATAGATTTGAGTAATTACAACAGTCTATAAGTGCCTATAACAGATGTAGGTGCAAGGCTTAGTGTGGGGGCCTAGAAGAAAAAGTGCAACTAGTTGTCTGGGTTGGTAAAAGGTAATGCTTAAATATCATTATGAAAGATGAGTAGGATTTGGCCAGTTTTTAAAATGAGGCAGTAGTGATGGAATATTCTGGGCAGAAGGAACAGCACGTTCCTGAGGCTCTGAGGCAAGGCATCACATGGTCCTTTGGACAGCCTGTGAAGCAGTTTAGCCTGGTGAGAGAAGAGGTTCCCCTATGGGAGTGGCTTGAGATGAGGCTGGAGACATGTAAGGACCTCAGAACAGGAAGGGCTCTGTAGGCTATGATAAGAACACTGGAAATCCATTGAAGGTTTTAAGTAGAGATTCTTCATATTTTTGCTTCAGAAAGATCAATGGTCTTAATACAAAATGGTCAATAGATGGTACTTTTGTAGGGCTGGGGTGAATGAAATGAAGTTGCAAGACAAAATGTAGGGAGACCACTTAAAGAAGCAAGAAATTTTAATGCCCTACACCAGTGGTTCTCAAACTTTAGCATGCATCAGAATCACCTGAATAACTTGTTAAAACATATGATCAGGCTACAGCCCCATATTTTCTGATTTCATAGGTATGGGATGAGGCCTAAGAATTAGCATTCCTAACAAGTCCCCAGATGTCTTAGGATGTCCCCTAGGTTTTCAACGTGAGCAACTGAGAAGATCCTGGTGTCATATGACAAAAGAAGGAAAGCATGAAGCAAGTTCTATTTTTTACCCAGCAATTCCCCCCTGCCTTTCAATGCTGTTTCCTCTAATTCTCCAAGTTTTACTCATTACCTGTTAGCTATCTCGTTATTCTAGCACCCCTTCCTTACAAACATCATCTCATGCAGAGGAACTCTAACTGACCTCACTTGAATATCTCTGGCTTATGCCCCCACCATCCAGCTATTAGCTTATTATGATAGATCCAAATGGACTAATGTGTCATTGACTATGAGAATTTGATGCTCCTCCAAGGTGACAAATTTCTACTTGAACAGTGATTTTCCTGAAACCACACCTCAGCCCAATGTAGTGTCTCAAGTGGGAATTTTAGGCACCAAAACAGGCAATCTGGAGGGCTCATTTCTGGATGGTAGGGGTCTTCTGACATCCCTCTATGGACAAAGATTTGCTCTGCCAATGCACAGAGACCTATATAAATGTCAACTGCTAGTTGCTAGCTAAAATTTCTATTTTTTGGACCCTGTCCCAGCTGGAGTGGGTTACAAATAGGTATGACTTATCTTTGCCAAGGAAAAATAACAGTGACTTTTAAAGATATTCCATTTGATTGTAATAACCCTCTACTTTGAATAACCAGCTTTCATTATATGTGTAGAAACTAGATCAGACACTGACCATAAGTTCTTCTTCCCTGAATCAAATTATGTACATGTGTTCATGCAAGTATATGCACACTCCTTTGAAAAAGTTACCCCATTTTCTATCAGATTCTTCATGTGTACAACTAGGATCCTAAAAGGTGTTGGGTGGATTATATGAAGTAAAAAATATCTAGTTCAGTGTTTTGTATAATATTCTATCTCCTCTTTATCCCTTGATGACTTATTATCTAGCCACTCTGCAAATTGATCAAACTCTGGACATCTTTGAAAGGAAATATTGTTTGGAATGAGTGAACTACACAGTAGCGGCATCATGTTGCTCAGGGTATATCCTATGGGTCAACTGTAGACTTCTATAATCTACAAAAACTTCTATTCTGCAAATATCATCAGTAAACACCTGAGACTATTGTAATGTTAAAGGTTGCTTCTTTTTTATTTATCTTTTATTTCAGCATATCATGGGGGTACAAATGTTTAGGGGGATGGACATGCTTGAAGTGTTACTTCTTTTAGTTTAGATTTTCTTAGGCTTGCCACTATACTACTTCCCTCATTCCCACTCCAATCAGAAGTTGTTGCATATTTGATTTTGAGATGGTCATTTGCTTATTACTTGAAGAAATCTAACCCACTCCTACAACAGGAACAACAACAAAAAAAGGATTAAGGATTACCAAAAAGGTTGTTAAAAGCATGCTGTATTCTGGCCTTCCCTTTCTCAGTTGTCAGTTCTGTGTGTTCTAAATGGTATCATAGCTTGTTTTAATATCACCCATGTTCACACTTTGTCATGGCTCCCAGGAAAACCTAGTCAGTAGGGATTTAAAGGATCTTATTTGGACACTGTAATTGTTATCTATAGAGTGCTTAATGCATAGGAACTCTGCAAGATCGCTATTCCTGCCTGTACATACACATTCATTCCCATATTTATAAGCATTACCTACCCATAGCACCTCAAGAGTTTTTATGAAAGTCCTAGAGGGATGTAGAACATGCCTTCATTAGTCCTTGTCATAAGCACAAATAAAAGTATTTGTTTTCCAACTTTGGAAAGGCATTATTTTTAAAAAAACTTGATGGATGACATTTCCCACCCTGTTAAATTTCCTGCATAATGAAATTACTGGATAGGAAGTCTTGGTCAGGAAACTTGATTATTTCTAAATTCATTTTGTTGGTGTCCCTACTTTTGCCTGCTTCAGATAGGGTATATAGCATCCTGCAGTCAATATGAAAATATATGTCCAAGGAGAATCTGAGACAAATGCTATGTAGTGAAAAAAAAATCAAAGTTGAAATAATTCATAAGACAATTTAATAAGTACTACTTTAAGGGTCAACAATTTGGCTTGGCACTAGGATCAGGCTCAGTTTCCATACTTCCTGGAAAATCCCCAAAGCAGCCCTTGCTTTTAAAGTTGATAGCTTCATAGTTTATTTTATCAAGCATGTTCACCTTTTGTAAGTTGTACCTACATGCAAGGGCTTAGTTCAGCATGTTCTTGTACTCACCTGTGAATCTTATGATCCTTCGGAGTAAAGGGTTCAGGTAACAGCATTCTCCGGTCAGAATTGTTTTCTCCTGAGCAATCAGGGATTCTCTTGTTGATTTTATGAAATACATGGATATCTCACCAATAAAAATCTGGGAAAGGAATGTTTAAGAAATGTCAAGTTGGAGAGTTGTTTGATAAGAAGGACCAATGGCTTTATTTTTTTAAATAACTTCTGAGGATCCACAATCCTTTTAAAGGATATCATGTTGGAGAGATATCATGGATATCATGTTAGATAGCATTTAGCACCTCAAAAGAACTAGAGAAAGTGATAACTGATCATTTCAGATGGAGTTAAGTCTACGATATTAAATCCTAAGGTCATATAAAGACAATTTGAAATAATAAATTGTAATAGAATTTATGACAGGATCATGCTGGGATTGTATTTTTTTTAATTCAGTGTGTGAGCTACAATGAGGAGAAATGATTAAGCCAACGTGCCCAAGAAGGCGTTATGTACGTATATCACAATAGGTTACAGTGAGACCTCACTTAACATTGTTGATATGTTGTTGAAAACGGACTGTAAGCAAAAGGACATATGGTAGCTATAGGAATGTAAGTCTTGTTTATATCAATCAGTCTATGGTAAAAGTGGTTTTGTTTGTTTCATTGAATGTTGTAGATAGGTTCTTAGAAGCTGCATCTTAAGTGAGGATTTACCTACTGCATTATGTAGTAATTCTACTATTATTTGCAGTATGAATCCTTATTTGATTATGTTTGAGAGATATTTCTCCTACTCTGAACTAGTTGACACTCCCTTGTTTATTATCGACACCTCTCATTATTTTGAACTAATAAACAATTACCATTTAAATCATAATGCCCCTAGGAGATTGGAAGCTCCCTAAGGGCAGGGAACATATATTTATTACCTTTGTAGAACAGCATATTCCCATATACAACAAGGAACAGGCAAGAGGCAGGTTTTCACCAAATCTGACACTGCCATAACTGAAGACTGAGACCCATCAATGAAGAATAAAAAGACAATTACTATCATCTATTGAATATTGGGTGCCAGACACTTTAGCATAGTGTTTTTCATGCTCACAAGATCCCTACTATAGGTATAGTTATCCTTGCTTTATGGGTGGGGAATGGAAGTTCAGCAAGTTTAAGTAATTTACTCTCTGCAAACAGATGGCACATGGGGGCACTGGGCTTAGTGTCCAGGTCAACTGGGTTTAAAAGTCCATACTTCCTACTATATCATATGCCGTTTTCATTTTCCTAATCCTAATTTCAATACTGATCCTGGAGAATGCGATCTTTTAGAGGGTCTTCTTTGCTATACATAGACCTATGATTTTAGAGAAAACTTGTCAATGTTTTAAGAATTCCCATATCTCATATTCCTCCTGTCATTTTGGAATATCTATTTATATGGGTAAAGATGATGATGTCATAAAAGGCACAAGGGTAATATAAATTAAAGCATAAAATTTCAAAATTGGAATCATTTGTAAAGTTTGTTCCCCTCCCTTTATGGATGAGGAAACCGAGGGTCTCAGGAACTTCTGCACACACAGCCAGAGAGACAGTGTTGGAAGCAGCTATAGAATATGACCCATAGTTCTATTTCCACTACTCTATTACACCTCATTCTTTAACATGATATGAATCTTTCTGCATTTAAGGCATACTGCATTTAACTTGTTTTGTTACCTCAATGTTAAGTACACGTTCAGCAAATATTTTTTACTGAGTCACTACTATGTACAATGTGGTGGGTTAAAAGGAAGAACTCTGAAGCTAGACTTTCATAGTTTATTAGTTCTGATGATCTTGAACAAATTGTTTAACCTTTCTATGCCTCAGTCGTCTTATCTGTACAGTCAGAATAAGAATGTCTACTCAAATATATATACACATGCATGTGCACACATGTGTGTATAGAAATTGCTTAGAACAGTGCCTGGAACAAAATATGCACTATATAAGAGGCAGAGGTTATTGTTAAATCAATAACAACTGCATTCACATTGTTGTCATCATTATTACTATTATATCATTACTACCAAGCACTTTGCCAGATCACTGGGGAAGCAGATTCCCAGAGGAATAAAAGAATCCTATCCTCCATAAGTACATAATCTACTGAGGAACACACACACAAAGGTGTTGAAACGACAGATTGTGTCTTATATACATTACAAGGTGCTAAGAGGCCAAAGCTCCTGAGTAGAAGCGGATTTCTCTCTTCTAGGAAAACCAGGTTTGCACTAGTCATTTTTCATCCCTCATGCCAAATGTACCTCATGGTTAGGCGACCACTGATTGTTGCATACTGACAATATGCCACCTTTATTTAGAGGAGGACCTTTTTCCTTTTCCATGAGCACTTGATCCAGACCTCTATCACAGTTCTTACCCATCACATGGAAAACGTCAATCTAGCCCTAAAGACCTCGAGTTCCTCCCATTGACGGCCACTGAAATCTTAATTTTTGCTCCCACAGCCTGCCCAGAATCTGGAATGTTTTTCTCTTTTTTTTAAAAAAAAAGGTTTAATATGAATTTTATTTAGCAGGGAAGAAAAAAAAAAAGTAGACTGCACATTTTATGTGGCCTAGAGAATTCTTGCTGTCTTACAGGCAATCAGGCCCCTGACAGCGCCATAGCTCAGCGAGGTCTTTGGAGTTCTCTTGGATTCACGACCCACTTCCCTGGAGATGTCCTAAATCTGAATGGTGTGACCTTCAAATAGACAGTACTGGTTCACACTGACATCAGCGAGAAAATGGGGGGGAGAGGAAAACAAAGAACCATCAAAAAATAGAAGTCATTAAACGTACAGGCTAAGATGATTGTTAACAGTCACAAAATACTTTAAGTATTTTTTTTGACAGAAAGCTATTTTAAAAACTTTAGTAGCTACATTTAGTCTAGCAATAAATTTATTATTACTACATCTTAGAAATTTTTTTTTAACTGAACAAAGTGATCCTCAGCCTTTCAGCCTGAAGATCCTGTGTTACAACACTGTCACGCTCTAAAAAGTGACCAGGCTTCCTTGGGGTTGGAGGCTCCTTGGCATTCAGCACCAGCCCCAGCAGAGACGGGGCAGATGTGTAAAATAATGTGATACCCTGGGGGCTGAATCAGAGAGAACTCTGCCAGGGAGGGCCAGTGAAGTCCAAAACAGAGGCTCAGTGCTGGCACAGAGGAGCCAGGCAAATCAGAGCCAGGGTGGAAAGCAGGCGGGAATAGACAGAGTTCAGGGTCACAGGCAAACAGCAGCCCAGCACGGATCACCGATCACCTTGGCAGGCAGTGTCTAGATACGCTTGTGCAAAGTTAGAAATACTTTGCACCTAACTTCCCTTGCTATTAACAAGGACTTGATGCTCTACCATGTAAAAATATCCAAACGGCTTCAAGAACTCGGCCCTCTCTCTTTTCTCGTGAGACCTATCTCTGCCAAAATAAGGTGCCAAGGGGCTTTGTTTGTCCCTAATATATATGAGGAAACTGCACAACTGTTTTCATCTCAGTGAACAGATGGGGAGAAATTCATGCATGATTGGATAAATGAAATAGCATTTCCTTGAGGGAGCTTTCCCTGGTCCTACAGACTAGATTAGGTGTATTTAATTGAATCTCTTACCTTGTGTTTCTCTTTTCCAGCTCTTATCACGATTACATATTATTGTGTTTCTTGGGTAGGAGATATCCTGTTTGTCTCATCCTCGGTTGTACCCCCAGAGCCTAGCCTAGTATAAGTACACAGTAGCTGCTCAATGTTGAATCAAGTAAGCATATCAGATTAATGAAAGTCCTTTAGAATACAGGTTTCACTAGGCAGACTATAAAGAAAAAATGATTGATATCATTTATCTTTCCAGATCCAGTGAAATGTCACTGCCTTAGATGGAGATTTTGCCAGGTCCCTCTGAAAAATGCAGACTGTCCTATCACTGTTGTCGTACATTATACAGACCTCTACCCAGTTAACTGAATTATTGTTTGTATGCCCCTCTTCATTTGTCTGTGATCTCCTTGAGGGAAGTTTTGCCTTGCCTTGAACAGAACCTGGTAAATAGCAGGCTCAGGTGATGATTGTTAAACTGAATCCTTAAAGGACCTACTTGTGGATAGAACCCTCCAACCTTAATTTCTCTGTAGAAATCACAGAATTCTTGATGTAGTGCTTAAGAATAATTAAAAATCAGGGACTAAATAATGAATTCATTAAATAACTAAAGTGAACTATCTCTTTTCTACTAAATTTACTTATTTACTCATTTAATACACAACAATTTAGGGAACACAGAAGTGAACAGATACATAGTGGGGGGAATACAAATGATACATGCTATACAGTGTGTGGTATTGTGATATAAGAAATATATACATACTGGTTTCTGCCCCCAGTTCCTCAGACTAAGCTCCTAAGACCTTTGTGATTTCCCAAGTGATCGAAGCATCTTTTGTTCTAATGAAGTGATCTGGTGGACTCCGGGATACCTTAAGGATGGGGCCTGGTTGCCAGGGGAACCAACATGTGATTAGCGGGTTGGAACTTTCAGACCTATTCCCGCCTCTGGGGAGGGGAGAGGGGGTAAAGGTTGAGTCAATCACCAATGGCTGGTGATTTAATCACTTAGGCCTACATAATGAAGCCTCCATGAAAAACCCAAAAAGACTGGGTTCAAAGGAGCTTCAGGGTGGCTGAACACATGGAGGTACCTGGAAGGTGGGCATCCAGAGAGGAGTCGGACACTCCATACCCCTTCTCATATACCTTGCTTTATCTAGCTCTTCCATTTGGCTGTTCATCTGTATCCTTTGAAACATTTTATGATAAACACTTATAGTAAACATCAGTAAAGTGTTTCCCTGAGTTCTGTGAGCCATTTTAGCAAATTAATGGAATCACAGGAGGGGGTAGTAAGAACCCTGATTTATAGCCATTTGGTCAGAAGTATAGGTGACAACCTACTTTTTTTTGTTTGTTTGTTTTTGAGACAGAGTCTCACTTTGTTGCCCAGGCTACAGTGAGTGCCGTGGTGCCAGCCTAGCTTGCAGCAACCTCAATCTCCTGGGCTCAAGTGATCCATGTCCGGCTAATTTTTTCTAT